TTTTTCTGAGCCACGGAAGCCACGGAAGCCACGGAAGCCACGGACGCGCAACCCACAGGGATCCGGATGCATTATACACCTGAACATTGCAACTTGTAAATGGTGGTTTCCAACTTTATTTTGGTGTTGAAAAAGGTTGCAAAATGGAGATCTGTTTAAGGAGCCCTGCATAGGAACACGTGCAACCCACTTGGCGAATCGGCAGCTCTTGGCTTGCTCCACAAACCCCGTCCTGGCCAAACAATCGAAGCAGCCTGTGGGCAGAGCACCCACTCAAGGAGTGGGCTGAGGAATCTGGTGGAAATACACTATACCCTCCTTCCAATCTTGAAAACTGACAAAAGGACATTGGAAGATGAACTTTCATTGTAGGGACCAGCTGAAAAAGAATGGTCATTACTCAAAAGAACGGGGTCATGATAAACATGCATGTTTAAAGGGTCCAAAAATACAACTTCCAGCAAGGCCCCTGTCCACCTTGGTTTTAACAAAGAGGGTGTTCCTGGAACCGAAAGAACTACCCTTAAACAAGTTGGAACTTTCACCCATTCCTTTGAGGGCAATGACCCAATCTTCTTGTAAGGGATAAATTTGGAAGTTCGAGGGTTCAGGTTTCTCTCCTGGTCAGGTGACAAACCGCGGACAGCCATCTGCCGTCTGCCCCCTTTCGGGGCTCTGACCTTGAAGGGGTTCTCCTTGAAGAGCTCAAGAGCCTAGCCGCCGGAAGCGGATCCAACCAAACGAAGGAGCACTTTCCTGTTGAAGTGTTAAGCCCAAAAGAGAAAGTCCGGGACCCCAAACTTTCAAACAGGTGTGTGTGTGTGTGTGATGTGTGTGCGTCTGTCAAAATAGGTGGATTCAATTCTTACGGTTGTCCTTAAACACAAATCCCAAACGGATAGCTTCAAGAAGCACACATGAGGGTTGATTTGGGTGTGAAGCAAAAAGGGGAGTGATTAAGTCAAAGGATTGCAATCCGACCAGCAGGCAGCTTGCCTTCCTTGCGATTCTCACGGGATCAACAAATGATAACGGAATCCCTAGATCAAAAGGTTCACCAAGTGCTGCTGTTCAGTCGTCCTAAAATGGTCTACCAAGAACCATGTACAGGATTAAGAAGGCGGATATCCGCAACTGTTTATGGTTGGGATCGTCCCTTACTAACCTTCATCTACCCGGGTTTTGATTGTGGCTCTTATGCTCTCTGGGAGTGAATTGGTTTCAACCCGTGGTTTCTTTGGTGAGAAATGGAACTCGCAACCCTTCTGTGCGCCTTAAAGGCCTGGCCTGGCGCTGGATATCACACCGAAATAGGCTAGTGGTTTCTATGCCCCAGGAGTCCATATGACTAAGTCCCAGGAACACTTTTTGGGATGCTCACCACTGAAACTATACGGGCCTACATCATTAGAATAGGGGGGTTACTCATAAAAAATGAAACAAACAAGCACCAACCATAACTTTGGGTTGCAATAAGCCATGTTTAAGTTGGATTTGATTTCAGGTCCAGGTAGCTCTTTCGGCCCTTTCAACAGACGTGGCGTGATGCCCTCTCTGGGCTGGGCCTCCTCCTTTGAAAGCACGCACCGCTGGAAGAGCTGGGACTCCTGAGCGCATCATTGTGGCTCAAAATTGACCAGGGGCAAACCGCAGGAATTCTCGTTCATGTGTCCACTTACCAGGGCAACCCATTTTGGAATTCCTTTTTTTTTTTTTAAACCACAGCTATTTCATGACTTGGGTGTGGTTTTCATTCGGTCCCGAGCCCTTTGGTGGAAATCATTTCTTGATCATCAAGCATGATCATAGTCCCTGGTGTGTTTTTGTTTGACAGGGAACACGAAATGGTGGACATCAGCATTTCGCAGGATTGACGTCCACCACCTGTTGAGGGGGTCCCCTGAAATTCACGAACCACCACCCCAGGCAAACCACCACCCCAGCATTGACCTGTTGTACCACCTGGACTCTCCATGCCCCCTTAAACATGGGTTCACTCCCCAAAAATCAAGGGGTTATGACCCATGACCCCCTTTTTTCTAGGGTGAAAAAAGGGTCCTTGCCCCAAAATTCATGGGGTTAGCTATGCCCCTGCCCCCCCCCCCCCCCCCGTTTTTTCCACCAAAGTGCTGGAGACCCAAGGCCCCTTCCCCGCTTTTCCAACAAAGATGGAGACCACCCAAGGCCCCTAGGCCCTTGCCCCCGTCCCCTCCTTGCAGATCTGCGTGGCGTGGGACTCGATCGCCGAGAAGTCCGCGTCGTTCAGCTTCCTGGCGCGAACCGCGCGCGCCCGAAGCGCGGGAAGACGACCAGATCGGGCGGGAAAAACCCATGGGTGTTCCACCTGCCCCCTACCCTGGAGTCAGAAAAGACCCGAGAAAAAAAGGGTCATTACCCAGAATCAACGGGTGGACCTGTTTTTTGTTTTTTTGTTTTTGTTGTTTCTGTTTAAGTCAGAAGGAGACTCCAAGTAGGAACTGCAACTGAAATTTGGGTGTTCCCCAAATGGCTTCAGCCACCAAAAGGACAATATGACATATGTGCTTTGGGCACCCATACCCAAGTTGGCATGTGTACTGGTCATGATCAAGCCTTCTGATGCGGGGACTACAAGACACACAGGCGACCAGGGCTTTTAAATGATAGCTCCCCTGGCTATCTGCAGTGCCTACCTGGCCTTCAACCATACTTGGCCCTGCTTAGTTTAGCCTCACCAGGGCTGTAGGGTCGCTATTGTCGAACCTCCTCAGCAGCAAATCCAACTTTTGCCGGTCGCCGCGGCCATTGCTGCTGATTCACGTCTGTTTCCATAAGGGTCAAGCAAACCGCTTTTATGAACTTGGAGAAAGCAATAAAGCAATTCTCCCCTTGCCCGGCTGGGCCCATGACCAGCCCTTACTTCCCCGACGTCATTGGCTGAAAACGAGACTCGTCGCAACGAGTTTCGCTCTCTTTCTCGCCATCGGCACGCCTCTCTCCGAAGAAGCCATCGTAGTAGAAGCCAGACCTTGCGTTTAATCCCTGATTCCTCATGCTGAGTCTCAGCACGCTCTCAGCTTCATATTGTGGGTGGTTGCGAAATCCATTTCGCACCAAAAAGAAACCCTGGAATGATGCGATTCCCCTGTACATGCCAAGAAACAGTGGTTTCAAACATGGTTTCATTTCGTGGTGCAAAATGGCTTTCTCCATTCGCAGTATGTCAACCCCACAGAGACGCCCCAGAGAGACGCCCCAGAGATTAGGTGAGATTCATTGAAAACCCGCCGGGGAAGACACAAGAAGGACCATTCTCCAATCAGCCCAAGGTGAGTTGCATGGATTGTTGGTGAATGGCATCATGTGCAGCGATCCCCTCTAACCTCAGGGTTGCTCAGCACCCAGCTTCGGCATGAGACATCCTCATGAAATCTTTTCGCAGGCGGCCAGTCACTTCAAACGCTGCGCTCCCCGCCCTCCCCGAATGCTCTCACGGTCGCTTGGTCCGTAATTCTGTGCATGGACGAAACCTGCACACTTTGAAACCATGGTTGAAACCGTTGTTTGCTGGCATTTATAGGGGAATCGCATATTTCCAGGGTTCTGGAAGATTTCCCAGGACCGAGGGGGGAACCCCAAAATTGGGGGATCCAGCTGCTAACTGACTGTTACTCACACACCTGGCTTTCCAAGCAGTCTGACGGGACCTGAACTTTGTCTCCGGTGTTATTTTATTGGCTGCAAACACAAAACACGGCAAATTCACCGCACAGTCAGCACACTCCAGCTTCGCACAGCTCTGCTGTCTGCAGAATTCCTGCTCTATGTTTCAACAACTAGTTTGCCATCCTTGCCTGCCTCTGCGTCATACCATTGTGCAAATCTTACTAAGATTCCAATAGGCAGAACTAGTTCTTCGTTTATTAAAGTGAAGTGACCTTGTTCATGGCTTTCGCTCGTCTTTACCCCCAAACAAAAACCGGTGAGCCCGCCTTCTGGCCGGGTTTTCCAAACCTGCCCAAACCCGCCGTACACCACCCTGGTAGTTGATTGAACCACCAGGTAAACCAGGGCCCTCGATTGTTAAAGCAAATCAACCAAAAGGACGCCTATGATATCACCTCTGCACCCAGCCCGATTCAATCCCCGTGTACTCCGCCGTCTCAGTCCGGGACTCCAAGGCCGGGCCGATCGTCAGGTGGCACCCGAACTCCCGCTCCATGGCTTGGCCTTCAGCGCGATTCTCGTTTTGCGGGGAGGGGGCGGGGGAAGTTTTGGGTCAAGTCAGTGGCGCTTTGGGTCCTCGGTGAGTCGATTTTCCCCGAGTGAAATCGATTCCCAAAAAATACCAACAGGGGAAAATACGTAACAGATTCGTTTCTGCAAATGGAAGTTTACTAGGTCCTCCAGATTTTAGAGGTGGCCATGGGGCAGAACCTATGGCGAGCCAATTTGGGGTGGATAAACATCCATTTGCCATCTATTTTGATGGTGACCAGGGGTACAGGGTTTTGACCCACAGCCAGGTTAGAACAAGGGTCCCATATTTTTTCTGTAGTCTATTTTAATAGGGGGGCCCTCCCCCCAAAAAGGGTAAAAGGGCACTACTGGGGGACCCAGGTGGTTCGTGTTGGGTTCTGAGGTCGTATAGATTTGGGGGCTGATCACAAGGTCCTTTGTATGATGACCATTGGTGTAAACCACTTAAGATGAGATTTCCCACCATGGGAAGAAGCTGCCCATTGTCATTGCAAAGGCCAGCAACATTGATCAACCCCCCATTTACCTGGTCCTTCTGCCCATGCTTCTGGCCCATGGGGAACGATCCGATTTTGAAAGACTGGTCCATGGGTCCCTTGATTCTGGGGAATGCTCCGACTTTTGAAGGGTCATGGAGCCAGGTATGCACCTGGACCCGCCACTACCCAGATGAACTGCTTGGAAGACCCAGGCCACGCAACCCGGACGCGACTCGCGACTCGCGACACAGCCGCGCCCCGCAACGACGCGCTTTCTTTTGGTCACAGCCGGAGCTTGCGAGTGTCCAGGCCGGCCTTTTGCAGCAGCTTCATGAGCCTGCAAAAGTCTCAGGGTTTTGGTATTACACCCTGGGATGACATCCTTGGGAAATGACCCGCCATGGTGCAAAATAGCACGGTTTTATGCGGAAATGTGCCTAAATGGGGTGAATGCCCAGTGGGTGTATTCCCTGCATGTAATACAAAAACCCTTAGAAAAAGGCAAATGGAAGAAGAAATAAGCCCAAGGAGTGTTGAAAGAAACCCAACAAATTGCACACCTATACGCTCACAATTCCCCTAAACACTGGATATTGCCTCAAAATAATGGTGTGAATTCCCTTTGTCCGGGGTAGTTTGAGCGTCCATGCATGTTTCTTGGCGGACCCAGGGACCGTCGCAGCGCTCTGATCTCAAGAACGCAGATAGCCCAGTGATCCATTTACCTGCATAATGTTGACCCAGGATTAATAAACCCGTCCCATTATTAGGGGGGTGTTCCCTCCAAAAGTGGTCTGAATCCCCACTAAAAGGGGACACCCCCCGATCAAAATCAAGCAGGGGTTCTGCTGAATCCGGGGTTAACATTAGTGGGTAACAGGAGCCTTCGAAAGCCACTAGAGTGGTACCTGGACTCTCAAAATTCCAGCTTCAAAATTGGACTCTTTGCAACCCAACGCTGCTTGGAGAACTCCATTTTTTTCCATGGATAGTTTGAGGGTGGCAACTAAAATCCAGTTTTCCACATGAGATCGGAACCTAGAAAACCCCTGCACCACAAGAGTTTTAGAGCCGAACGTGAGAGGCGAGGTGCCGGAAAAAAAATCAGGGCCTTGTGGCTTGAAACGAGGCGCCTCGCAACTGAAGAAGAACTCTGGCCTTTCTGGGTCGGGGCCCATGAAGTGGCAAGGAACCAGTCCCACTTTCTTTGATGCCCCCTAAAGTAGCCAGAAAAAATACATTGGGGTGAACTACAACTATTCGCCAACCGAGCAAACAACTAATAACTGTCAAATAATGATGCATGGGTGAGGTCTCTAAGCAAAACCTGTGCATGGTTACTACAGATTGCCCAAAAGTACTATATTGACACATTCTTGGTTGACGTTGGAAGGGGGGCAAAAGTTTAAATTTTAGCACTTAAGTGGGGATTTCCCACTAAACCACAATAAGCAAAATGTAAAATGTTTCCCAACAACAACCATGCATTGGCCCAGGCACGCAACAGCGACGAGTACTCCACCAGCACCCCCTAATGGCTGGCCAATTGCCAGCACATCGATTTTGGGCAAAACGATATCACTTTATGTCTAAGTGACTGCAAAAGCAAGTTGCATCAATTTGCTATCAAGTATCACTCATCTGTACTTAGTGCAATTTGTGCAATGATACAAGTGACCTTTCAGGGTCCTTTGGAATGGGGTTGCAGGGGAAAGGGGAGAGCAGCAAATTTGAGGTTTGAAGGGCAAGTTTGAGGTTGGGAGGGGTTCTTGAGGAGCGTGTCACGGCGTGTCACGCATATTGCCGGCACATGTACGTTGAACGGTCACTTTTTTGGGATATGAGCGTGTCACCAGCGTGTCGCCCCCCCTCCCCCCTCCCCGCGCGTTGCATGTGCAATGATCATACATGCCAGCCCAACCCCTCAAATTCTCAATTGGATCCCCTCTAGTATCCTGAAGTGACGTTTCAACAAAAGTGACTTTTCACTGCACTTTGATGATTGCAAAGAAACCTATGTGACTACAAAACCATTTTTAAGCAAGTGCTGGTCAATTGCCGGCAGTTCACCCAGGACGCCAATTACCGGCCATCGGGGGGGCCTGGCAGTTGCTTTTTATCACAGAAGTGGAACCACACTCTCAGTTTCACCCTGGCTCGGAGTGAGGAGTTGTTTGCGTTTCTTGGAGCCGGCCACTGGGGGTCCGTCAACACAGGCTGCTTTCAGGGATTACACCATGGAAGGGAGTGCCTTGGCCAAATGTGTCTGAAATGACCAGTCACCTGGATCGCCAGCTGCTTTGTTCCATGAACTTTACCCCAAAAACCGATCGCAACAGTGACTGAAAAAAACAAGCAGCAACTTTCACCTTGCTCGAAGCAACTCCCAGTGGATCCCAGGCGTTGCGCCCTTGTAGCAAAAAACCAACAAAACTATTTTTGTTTTTTAGAAGCGTGGTTCCCTTGGTTAGCCACTATGCCGCAGGCAAATTGATCTACTGGGATCCACTGGATCCACTGGTTAGGGTTTTTCCAATTCGAATATTTCAATCTCAAGGGCCTGCCGTCCGATTTTTCGTGCCCCGGACAATGGGTCATGCTTGGCAGTGAACAACTACGGAATGGTTGCGAAACCCATGTCGCGCCACCTCCAAGAAACCCCCAGCGAAATGACGTCAAGTTCCCCTGGTAAATGCCCGGCAAACGTGGCTGGTTTCCGGCCAGTCTCATGTCTCGCGGACGACAACTATGAAAGGCTCGCGGATGACTTGGCCCCGAGAAA